GTCAGCCTCGCTATTGGAAGTTTCCTTTATCTCGTGGCCAGGGTTGGGACTGTGGATAGGTGAGTCATCAAAAGAAAATATATATATTTATATAAAATATAAATATATATACATACATACATACAACTCGACTCTTTGCCATTCTGTATGTTGTTGCTCCGTGCGTATATGTGGTCAAATGATTGGTATCAAGGATCTGTCCCATTATCCTCTGCCCAATCTAGCTATGTAATCAGTATCGCAATATTCTTAATATTGGGTCAGGGGATCCCTACAACGAAATAACAAGATAGATAGATAAAAATGATAAAACAAATACCCAGGATTGGTATCAGTCTGATATTGGTCAGAATTTCAGGACAGTACATAGAAAAAGAACAGCTACTCTTTAGCCTGTCCGATCCGATACCTATGCCCAAACGTTTAACTTGAATTTTCACGACATGCAGTAAACAGGGACACCATCACAACATCCACAACAGCCCACAGCATCGCATTGATATCGGTATCAGCAGAAACTCCAAGATGCAGTGATTATACCCAAAATTCTGTGATCTTTTTTTTTTCAGGCTACAGCCTATCTGCCGTGTTGAAAGCGGACTGCCACTCTCGCAGCCCGAGCAGATCCCTCTCCGCACATTACAGTTTAAGCGGGGTCTTCTTCTTCATGAGTTACGAAAGACCAATGCAACTAAGGAGCAACTTTACCTACATAACCACGTCCAGCAGCTGCCGCAGGCCATCATCATTGGCGTTCGCAAAGGTGGCACGCGTGCCCTTTTGGAGATGCTTAATCTGCACCCTGCCGTCGTTAAGGCGTCGCAAGAAATACACTTCTTCGACAACGACCAGAACTATGGCCGTGGTATTGACTGGTACAGAGGCAAGATGCCTTTCTCCTTCCCCCATCAGATAACCATTGAGAAAAGCCCGGCCTACTTTATTACAGAGGAGGTCCCTGAACGCATCTTCAAGATGAACTCTTCCATCAAGCTACTGATCATAGTCCGCGAACCCACCACCAGAGCGGTGTCGGACTACACCCAAGTTTTGGAGGGCAAGGAGCGCAAAAACAAGACGTACCACAAGTTCGAGACACTGGCCATCGACGGCAAAACCTGCGAGGTCAACACGAAGTACAAAGCGGTGCGGACCAGCATCTACAGCAAACATTTGGAACGCTGGCTAAAATACTTTCCGGTGGAACAGTTCCACGTTGTAGATGGAGACCGCCTTATCACAGACCCACTGCCTGAGCTACAGCTTGTGGAGCGCTTCCTCAACCTACCATCAAAAATCAGCCAATATAACTTGTATTTCAACGCCACCAGGGGATTCTACTGTTTGCGATTCAACATTGTCTTCAACAAGTGCCTGGCAGGCAGCAAGGGTCGTACCCATCCGGAGGTGAACTTGTCAGTGGTAACAAAACTACAAAAGTTCTTTCATCCGTTTAATCAGAAGTTTTACCAGATCACTGGTAGAACATTTGATTGGCCATAATATATGTAAAAAATCTCTAGAGAGTTTTCCGTATTTGTTTTTTTAAAGGGAAAAAAATGCCATATAACGATATCCTAGAAGATACGGTGATGGAATTTTAATGGATAGTTAGGATTTTGTGGTTGTATGAGGCATGCTGCCTCTTCTGTTGTGGTCCCAGTGCAGAATTCAGCCTGATAATTGGAGGATTGCTTTAACCAGCATGTGGCATCCAGCAGAAAACAATAGATGAAAATATACCTAAGTCTTAATAATTCAGAAACAAGCTTGGATCCTTGTGTTGTTTTTGTAAATCACATATGAGCCATACACATTTATGGAAACGTTACATGTCTTAGAACAGGGTTGTGTCAAACTCAAACCAGAATTAAAAACTGTGACCAAGACCCAATTTCTTTCATATGGAAACAAACTTTAGTCTTGCGTAAACAGTAAATCTCGAACAAACAAAGCTTAATATTATAAACACCAAAATTAAATTTGAAATAGAACACACATCAGTGGTGTTCATTTCTTTTTTTGGCTCTCTCTATCTGTAGCCTTTCCGGTTTCTTTTTTGACATAAAAAGGCCATCAACAAAACAATCAAAAGTGTAAGTGCGATAAAATATCGCATACACTGCTAATACTACAAATCCTGCCCGTTTATAGACATAATTACATCGCTCTAATATACATTTGATATGATCTTGCGGGGCCAGATTTGTCCCACAGACCTGAGTTTGACACCTGTGTCTTAGAAGATCGGACAGGTAACGTGTACATAGTTCTTGTGGCAACCTTGTTATTATAAACAGGTTTTTATTTCATTCATTGTGGTAACAAAATAGTGTGCCAAAGCAAGCGGATAGTCACAACAAATTGTGTACTTGTGTGGCAAAGGCAAATGTGTACTTGCGCACAATGTGGCAAATGTAGGCAAGCAGGGCAACTATAGAACAGTGGAGCACTATGGGCTACACATCAAGAAGTTAGGGTACGTCCTTTCCATGCTTTTGTGTTGTATTCCTTACTTTTCTTGACTTGCTTACAAAGCACAAAGTATCACTTTTTGTTACTGATTTTCATGAAGAATTTAAAGTCAAGCCGCACTTAGAACATACAGTGTTTGATGTCCGGCTAAATACCAGATTCAGTGGTCAACATATATAATGGTTAGCTTTGTTTTTATTGAGTGACACCTACTGGCAGTCATCAGGTGTGGAAAAGTGTTCATTTGATTTTCTGTATGTGATTGGATGTCTGTCTCACATTTAATGTGTATTACAATGTCATCTTATGAAAACGTGTGGAACTCACTAAGAACAACACATAGTAAACAACACCCACTTGGGTTGGGTATAATCACACTTTAAACAAACAATACTACCCTTCAACAAAACAAAAAAGTGCGACTTATAGTTGGGAAAATATGGTAAGTTGTTTGGGTTTTTTTCTGTAATGAAAGCCATCGGATGGTGACAGAATTTACATATTATAACAAAAAACAATTAATCCTACTGTTATCTGTTAGCATTTGTTTCCAACACGTTTTTTCTCCATGGCGTCACAGAATAAACGCAAAAATGTTACGTAGAACTCGAAGCCCTTTAGACTCGTTCATTACAAATATAATGTTTTTTCACCTACAACCTCATTTGTGTTTTGCAGAATATTTGGGGGAAAAGTTGAGTCTAAACTTGTTCTCCGATGACTCTTGTCACACTAACAGCTTATTCTGAAAATGGTTCTTTAAAACTCTTTCTGTGAACTTGTTCATTATGTATCATGTGTGTTCTTCAGAAAAAGGGTCAATTAAAGGGAAACTTGGACTTGGACAACTCTTGTTTTGTATACTGATGTCATGTTTTATAGTTTAAACATATGCAGTCATTACACTTGCACATTTATCGTGTTGTTTCTAAGGACACAAGTAGTGCAAATTTACTCAAATTATATAATTTATTTATATTATCATTATATTTCTGCCTTTTCCCTGAAATACCGCATTTCCCCAATAGATGGCGTAGAAAATGGCAAAAATACACGACTTTTACATGTCATTTATCTTAGTTCAGGCGAATGCTCCGTCTATCTGCTCCTGACCTGGCCCCCCCGTTCAATTTGATGACAGTTGTGGTACGCGAGTCAAATGGTTTACCCACGCCTGGTCTACACCTATCTTTAACTAGAAAATTATAATAAGAAACTTTAATATCCCCAGTTAACCTTGAGCAAAATGCAGTGTTATACCCGAGGTAGGTTTACTAGTTTATTTACACATTCATGTTTTCTTTGCATGTTTTGAACTGTGTCATCTCAAAACCCCGAGCTAGTGAAAATGGTTTTAAAAGAATATTTATGGACTTCCTTGTTATTTATCTGCTGCGTGTCTCGTTATTTCTTTAAATATTATAATGTATAAATGGTAAGTATGTATAGTGGATGACTCTGGATTCAAAGTACTACATTCTGCAGGTAGTGCTATGTAAATAAAATTAATACTTAATTTTACTTTTCTATATACTTTGACCACTTGACTTGCATTACTACAGCATACTGATTTTATTATCCTTCACCCTGAGGGAAATTGAATAATGACGGCGAGTGATGGTGATTGCACAACCACACATTTTTCCAATTGTTATTGGTAAATTTTACCCTTCTACGGATACTTTTTAAATCAGCTATACAGTATATTTGACTCTATTTCATGTATGGAGAAGCCGTATAGCACTGGGAACCACCGACAACATCTGGCCTGGCCCGGCCCGGACCCCGCTCCTCTTTGCTCCTCCTACTGAAAGGCTCGTATTAGTTGGTGGTGTTTTCTTCTGTGTTTGTTCGCCCAGGCATCAACGAAAGCTGCTTCTAACCAGCATTTTACCCAGGATACTGAACGAAACATGGCTTACACGACTGCAGGCGGGACCAAGAAAAAAGTTTGCTACTACTATGACGGTACGGAACGTGTGGAAGGCGCGAATTAGAAAACCAGGATCCTTAGCATCCTAGCAGGCTAGCGTTAGCCGAAGCTACTGAATGACTGCTGTTAAAGACTATTTAGCTAGGAGCTATTGTTAATTATCGACGCTGAAATGATTTCCAGCTAACTACTGCCGTGCCGTTTGTTAACTATCACTGATAAACACGAATAAAAACAACTGTAATTTATCCGTAAACGATATGGTGTGTAATTGAACGTAGTAAAACGTCAAATAAAAATGTCAAGTAGAGAAGTTATGAATATATACCCGGATTTGTGCGCCGGGCTTCCGCTACGAAACCGTGTATAAATAAAGCTGGTCAAATCATATTTTGAACTATATAGTAACGGGTTTATAAAAGGTATAAAATGCAAGTCTGGTCAGGAATTCGGCAGAGTCTTTGAGTTCAAGAAACGCAGTAATACTAAATAATACTAGCCGAATAAACTGGAGGTACAAAACTTTAATAAGTATACACCACTTGGAAATTCGTTTCTAACACCACAAAAGAACAATTCATACAAAAAACAGATACAAGTATGAGTTGTTGTTTTTTTAAAATTTGTGTACCAAGTACTGATATGGTGTTTCTTTAGGTCAGGTGTTAATATGTGTCTTCAAAACAACACTGTTTTCACATCAGACAATACTTCAGAACAACACTGTTTTCACATCAGACAATATATAAATGAATACATAAGTAATATTACAAATAAAGATAAATGAAAAAAACTGCATTAT